CGTGGTTGCAGCTGCCGATGGTTGTCACCCCCACTGCCGTCACTGCAGCGTCCTTCAGGCTGGCTCTTCTATGTTCCCTCCTGGCCTCCCCCGGGGCGCAGCTCCTGTCTCTGCTCTTCCAGCTCAGCAAGGTACCCGTGGCCTGTCTGCCTATCCGCGTGGCCCCATCCACCTGAGCAGCACCACCAAACTGGGGAGCATCTTCCTAAACAACCTCTTTACCTCTGTAGGAAGACTCAAGGCCTGCCAGAGCCCAGCTACACAGCCCCCTGAGAGAAGCACAGGCAGAAGCAACTCTGGGTAAACACGTATTAAAGTAACGCAGAAACCGTCCCATCATGGGCTGGCACCATAGCACAGTGGTAAGGACAGCGGTTAAGCACAGCGCGTTAGGAGCTGGATTCCACATGGCTGCCCGCCATTGAGCACATGTGTGCTCAGGCATGTGGTGCACGCCCAAGATAGCCATGGGAGGGAGAAATGGAAGAGAAGGTATTACAATGAGAGCATGCCCCACTGTGGGAGGAGTGACTTCTCTCTCCTTCTCTGTCTCTCTCTCTGGTGATTGCATGTACGCTGTGGCAATTTAAAGAAAAGATATATCCCTCCTAACTCTCTTGGCTGGTCCTTTGGGGCCAAGCTACTAGGTAACAGTTGTATCTTCTACTGTGAATTTTTATCGTGCTTATTATGACAAAAGCCAAGCATCATTTCATATGCTTATAACATTTTGTGTGGTTTTCTAGTTGTTTGGCCCATATTTATATTAATCACGTAAAATCATTTTTTATGAATGACACGTCAGTACTTTCACCATGAAGTAAACTGGATCTTTGTCCATGGGTAGGGAATAATTTTTCTCTCTTGAAATTGCTGTTTGAGTGTGATTATTACTCCTTAAGAATCTTGAATTATCATACTGATCAATATATTTTTTAAGGCCTTTTACTTTTCCCAAGTAAGCATTTTCCTCCTGCTGTGTTTCCAGGGCCAGCCATGGGGGTCATAAGGGGCTGTTCAAGACCATACCAGGGCAGTAATGACAGGAAGCCTCATTCTAGCCTTGCCCTGTCTGAGGAAGGCCCGTTCTGGCAAAATCGGGAAGAAAGAAGTGTCCCTGGGAACCCTAACACGTGTCTTTAGCATCAGTGTTCCCCCTTTCTCTTTCTCAGGTCCTGATTCCAGTGGGAGGCTGTCAGGTCCCCAGGAGCCGTGCCAGGTGAGCCCGTATCCACACGCAGTGCCTGACTCAGCACAGCATGCTGAGCTCTAGATCTCTCGGATGCCCTCCTCTGGCGTAGGCCGGCCGTGGAGGGGCAAAGCCCAAAGTGGGATGGAGACAAGGACATACTGGCTGGGCCAGTGGTGGAGATGCTGGGAGGCAGCAAGGCCCCGGGTGTTTGCTCTGCTCTCAGTCCTTTCACGAGGAGTGGGCTTGGAGAACCTGCCCCATGGTGGAAGCCAGCTTCCAGCTCTCACAGTCTCTGACCCAGGGCAGCTTCTAGTGGCACATCACAGCCTCGTGTGGTAGTTTATCTGTATGACCATCCCCTTAGCATCAGCGGGTTCTTATCTGTGGGGACATCGCAGGGCACATGGTTCTCATGTTTCTAGTCTCTAATTCCTTGCTCCTGGTACTTAGGAAGGTGTTCTTGGTCCCCTGCTCTGAGCTCACAGTACCCCCAGGCTCCAACACCACAATGGGGCTTCGTACCCTTCACCTTGCGGCCTTTGCTCACCTCAGCGGTCTTGGCTGAACCCCTTCCTCTGCAGGGCAGTGCCTTGCAGAGAGCAGAGTGCAGTCAACCCAGCTGTGTGGAGCCACCATCAGGCCACCAGCATCGTCACACCACCCCCCGCCCTCCAAGGATCCAAAGGAGCTGGCTCTCAGGCTAACTGCACTGCTTCCCTTAGGGTTCACCAGATGCCTGAGCTTGATGGGACCCATGCCTCTCCTCTGAGAAGACCCGCAAACTTCAGCACTGTCTGGTGCACTGTAATATAACATGTGGAAAGCCCTGTGCTGGGGCATTAACCTTAGCCTGACCTTGTTGTTCCAGCACCCTCCATCAGCCGTTCCCTCTGCGAGTGCCAGGGCCAGAAGAAAGGCAGCAGACAGCAGTGGCATGGCTTGTCCCCACCAGGAGCTGGAGGCCCAAGAAGCTGACCACTGCCAGTCTTCTCTGAGGGAGAAGAGTGTCCCTCACTCTCCCTGTTCTCAAGGTGACCTCGCTGTGTGCTTTACAGCGCTCAGCCTCTTCCCACCAGTCCATTGTTAGCCTGTGGCTGCTTTCCAGAACTGGCCAATGTCCTCTCACCAAACACTCGAGTCTCATCCAAAACTAGGCACTGGCTTATTTGAAACTGGGGTGTTCAGCTGTGTTCCAAAGTCCTAGTGGTTTCTGGCATTTATTTAACATAGGTTTGGTCAGAAGTTTTGAAAAGTCAGGGACCAGCAGTTAGTGTAATGGATATGTTACTGGACTCCCAGGTAGTCAACCACAGTTCGAGTCCCGGACCTGGTGGCTTAAATTCACGCCGGTTGCGTGTGCGTGCATGCCCAAGATTCCAAGAGGAGAATGGAGGAGAAGGGACTACAGTGTGGCCATCTCCCCTGGGGGGTGATTTCTTGCTTTCTGTCTCTCTGGCAAGTACACGCGCCCTATAGCAAAAACCTCTCCCCCTCCCAAAAAAAAAAGAAAAAGAAGTTTTGAAAAGTCAGTAAGAGAATCTTTACCTTCTAACTTTTCTAAGTGTTCTGAAATTTGAAGTTTTCCAATTTTTTTTATGATAATTATAGTGAATAATGGCCCTAGCTTCAAAATATGCTAGATGCTCAGCTGGGAGCTGGTAGAGGCAGAGAATTACCGAGGAGTGGATAGGGCTGTGTCCAGGAGGGGGTTCCTGCTGCAGCCTGTGCCAGGAGGGCAGCCAGGTCCCTTCAGTCATGGCCTCGGGGGCGAGGTGCGAGTGGCTATGGCATCCAGAGTTGTGTGATCCGTGAGCAGGTGGTTTCTCACGGCTCCAGTCAGCACAGGTCCTGGCAAGCGTGGATGCTGCTTGACAGGACACGACTGGCAGAGCTTCTGATGGGTGGGCTGCACTGCTCAGCACAGGAAGGACTGTAAGAAAGATGGTCTCTGGAAGTGGGTGAGGCCTGGGCAGGCGAGCCTTCCATACAGGCACAAGAATTGCAGGGGTCCAGGGGCAAGCGCCCTCCAAGGCCCACTGCCTTCCCACACGGAGCCGGACATGGACTGGGCCGGAGGAAGAGCTCAGAAGTGCAAAAGCTCATATTGGCAGGCCAGGTACTGACATGGCTGTCCAGAGAGCCTGGCTCAGGACAACTGCACCACCCCGGCCACAGCTCCCTGTTTCTGCCCAGCAGGCATCCCTCATCTGTCCAGTGCCAGCTTCCCTGTGGAGCTCCCTAGGCGATGCAACACTCCATGTTGGGGGCCTTCAGTTCCCATTGCTCTGCCTGCAATGTGCCCTTCCTGGGATTCACCTCCAAGAACAATCACAGAGTAAATGGACTCCACTCAGGCATGAGGAAGTGCGTGGGGTGACCCTCCGTGTGTGTGCGGCTCTGGAAAAGCTTAGGAGAAATGACGAAGAGTAGGGTGAGTCCCACTCGAGCCCCTTATGGCATGTGGAGACTCAACCTAAACCAGGTGCGGATCCTGCAGATTTCAGGTCAGCCTGCTTTTGGGGTCTGAAATAGAATAGGTCACCCCACTTCTGATGTTGATTCAAAAGGGACTGTCCCCAAGGGCCTGGTAAAGACTGCCTGGTCCTGGCCCCTGTAGGCAAAGACCAACGTCCAGGTCCAGCCATCAGGCAGGAGGAGCCGCCCCCCGCCCCCAGCTACTTGTTCTGCTAGGCCTTCAGCTGATTAGATGAGGCCCACCCACATTGGGGACGGTCATCTGTCTACCCATCCTGCTGGATCAGATGCTAGTGTCATCTGGGAACCCCTCAGACACACCCACTATGTTGTCTGGCCAAACATCTGGGCACCCCAGGGCCCTCTCAAGTTTACGTATGGAATTCACCACGGTGGTCCCTTCGGATGGAAAGGATGGGTTCTGTTAACCCACCTCATCTCTGTCCTGTTCTTCCACAGCTCCCAGCAGTGGGCTCGAAGGACTTGTGGCCCAGCAGCTGAAGGCCCACCTGCCTTGGTCAGACTTTGCAGCATGGGCTGTTTGTGGAACAGTTTCCCTGGCCTGTGGTTTGGGAACAGGATTTCTAGGCTACAGGTGAGTTGTTGAGGCTGGCACCTGCCCTCAGGTCCGTAGATGGAAAGTCTTGCAGCAGTAAGGAAGTTACTGCTTTTCTGGCAACCCATAAATGTGAGCACTAGATGTCGCTGTTGCTACTTCCTCCCTCCATCCTAGAGTTGAATAGAATCATATGGGAACCCCAGGGTTATTTGACCAGATGAGCTCTGCCATGGCCGCTGGGCCTCGATGGAGTGCCAGAAGACACTCGAAGCTGCAGGACCCTCTCCCAGGGAGGGTAGGGCCCAGCCATTGAGCTCCTGGGAGCTGGGAACACGGGCTAGAGCTTGCCATACATCATGTCCCGTTGACGGAAACAGCATAGGGATAAGGATGCCTGAATCAGACTCTGGTCTGAACCCGGGCACATACTGCCTCTCTGGCTCCCGTGTGGCCCAGGTCCACCATCGGAGATCCTGAGGTCATTCCCTGTGGCTCCCTGAGCCCATGCCTTCACAATGATGAAGACAGTTTCGAGCCAAGGCCCTTTCTCCGAGCTCCTTTCCCTTACCTGCACATGTCAAATCACTGTTGGGAAGGGCACGGAATTTAAAACTTGTCTGTGCCTCAGCTTGCTCAGCTGTAAACTAGGGATACCCACAGTGCTTCATTCATGATGGTTTAGGAGGAGGGGAAGAAATACGCAACGTAGTCCTGTCAGCACAGGGCCCCCTGCCAAGCGCTCCTCTCACGTCAGCTCTGCTGCTGCTCTCATCGTCATCATCAGCAGCAGCAGCAGCAGCATCCCCGACCTGCTTCCCACACCTCCCTCTGGGCTCTGTTCCATCTACACGTTGGTTTTCCTTCCTCTTTTCCACTGGGCTGCTTCAGTGGGTCAGAGAGAAACTTCCCTATAGTGGGCAGAAAGACACCTCCACCCCAGTAGAGTTCCCTTGCCACAGCCCCACTTCCCACCCAGCATGAGGCAGGGACCTCTAGGCTGCTCTGTGCTCAGCTAGCGGTCAGCTCACATCCAGGTGCTGACCACACTGTCCGTGACAGGTTTGGCCCAGCGCAGTGTGAGCAGTGGCTGTGCCTGTTGTCCCTGTCCCTGGTCTGCTGTGTTTTTGTCACTCAGCCACTCATGGTAAGAATGCCCTCATGTTTGGGTGCATTTGGGCAGGGTACCTGGGAGGGAGCGGACAGGGGTGCTCACTCAGTTAGATGGCCTGCTCCTTCTCCATATGGCTTGATTGAAAGTGCAGTGAGGAAAACTGGGCGCCAAGCCTTGCGTGAGCTCTACTGGACTGTTACTGAATCCTATAAAAGTCCTGAGAGATGAACCACTTTCACCCCGCTTTTCCCTTTGCAGAAACTAAGCCTCAGAGGACATACATCTCTTAAATGAGACCATGGGGATGAGGGGAGGGCATGAATGCTGAGAATCGGGAATAGAGGGCAGAGGTGACGAAAGCCAGTTTAAGTTGGGAGGTGGAGCCCTGGCCAGTTGGGTAGCGGGAGGGCAGCTCTGCACGGACTGGGCACAATGGCGGTGCTGCCTACACCATGTGGTACATTTTCCCTTCCAGATATGCATCGTGGCTCTGGGCTTTGCTTGGAAAAGAAGAGACGACCACCACTTCTTTACCGAGTCGCTGGGTGAAGCGACCAGGAACTTGGACTCCGAGCTGGAAGGCCTTGCCAGGATGCCCTTTGCCCTTTCTCCGCACCGCTGCCTCCCCGAGTGTGCTGGGCAAGCTCGACAAGTGAGGCGGCTTCACATGCAGAAGTCCACACTCTCACCAGGCATATCCGAATTAGGCTCTGAATCCAAGTGTGGTTGCATTTTGGGAGACCCAGGAAATGTATTTTAGTTTCTTCCTCTTTCTTTGCATACATGTGTGACAGATTAAGTCATAGGATTTATTTTCTTACATTTATTTACCCTAATCTCAAGGATATCCAAGCACCAAGAAGATAAGTATATTTTAAAATATTGAAGGACATGAGAACTATTATTCTTGGCCATCATTTTGGAGAGCTTTTAAGCCATTTACATTTTAATGGGTCCACAGAAAATACACACCTTTCTCTCTTCCCTTCCTCTTTTTTCCCAATGTTCAATACTGCCTACTGTTTAGAGGAGGAGACTTTAAAACATTCGTGGGGAAGGTATGAGTTTATTTTGGTATAGGAAAAAAAAATGAAATCCATGCATATTTTTTTTCATTGCTGTGGTTTTATCTGCAAGGGTGAGTCCTTCCGAGAAATGCAGCTCTGATCCCAGTGCTGGGCCACCCACTTCTGAGGGCCATGTCGGCATCTTCCACCCACTGCATGTCCCGTTAGCACCTCAGTGAGGGCACCCCTCACACACAGCTTCCCCACGGACCCCACTGCACCACCCCTCCCTTCTCGGGCCTGGGATGGTTCATCGGCTAGGAGGATCCAAACCCCCAAGGTTCTGGACCTGTGACCACACTTTACAGTGTCTGCTATTGCTAAATATTTCCTGGGAGGCTGGTGTCTTCAGGAGGAAGGATGGTCCCTGGTTGTGGATGTCTCCAGTGCCTGACCCAGTGCCGCTCAGTACATGTGTGTTCGGTGAATGAGTGAGTGAGTGGGAACTGAATGAATGAATGGATGCCTTCAGTGGGCTCAGCCTCCCTGGCTCTGTTATGCCCCAATCATAAGTAGATTCAGTGTGACACAATCATGTTTTTTAAAAAAAGAAAAGCAAAGATCACTTCTTGCTAAAACCATGCTATAAGGTGACTTTCCCATACTTTGAATGTCCCTAAGAGAAAATACGGTGCAAACGCCGAGGTAATGGCTCTTGTTATTGGACCGCGCTGGACCCACCCCTCCAGCACAACAGCTCTTTGTACTGGCCCCGCTGCAGTTCCTGCCAAGAAGTGTGCCTGCGACGTGAGCAGAGCGTCAACATGGCTTTGCCCCTCTCTGGTCCCCCAACAACCTGGTGTATGTTCTCCACACAGCACCCTTTTGTTCCTGAGGTCTGGCAGAGCACAGAGCACAGTGTGAACACGGTTCCTTGGTCTGGCAAGTGGCCGGGCCTCTTTCCACTGGCTGCTCACAGCGCTCTTGTCCCTGACAGGTCCTGGCTGCCCGACTACGAGCGCGCCACCTGCGCTTGGTACATCCCCCGTCCACAGACGAGCTCAAGGACACCAGGGCGAGGCTGAGGAGAGAGAATCGCACGCAGGCAGCCCTGAGGTGGGTGAGCCCCCTGGGGGGCCTGCTTTGGTCCCACTCTCTTTTCTTTATTCGCTCATGGTAGGGTGCAGGCATTCACGAGAGAAGGAGAAAGAAAGAGAAAGAGAAAGAAGCCTCCTCTGCAGGGTCCAGCCATGCTGTGATCCCCTTCCTCCAGTCCTCCAGTCCTCCAGCCCATGGATCCCGGGCACTCACAGATGCGCCTGGCGTTTCAGGCTGAATCTGGCTGGGGATTCAAGCTACAGTTGCCATGTGTGATCTGGTTTCTCTTGAACAGCACATTACCGCTGCACCATGGAGCCGGCCCCCCACTCCCTGTCTGCTTTCAGAGGGAGCATCCTTCTGCAGCTGGTCACTGGTCGCCGGTCCCTGGTGCACACTATTCTCCTTGGGGAGTGCTGGTGGGGAATCCTACTGACCCCAAAGCCACCCTTTCCTTGTAGTCACCTGCACTCCCCAGCAGTGGGTTGGCAGGACACTGAACTAGGTCATGGAAGGCGACCTGTGTGGGCTGGCTCCAAGTCAGGCTCGATCCACATGGAAGGTCATGGGTTTGCCTTCCAGGTCCACCTCAACACACCAAGCATGTGTGTGAACACTATCAGCCTGAGAGGGGGTCTCAGTGGAGACCCTGTTGAGGAAGCTTGTCTTCGTTTCTCTCTGTGGGTCTATCTCACACACACTCTCAAAAACAGGGAAGAGACGGAAAGCTCACCCTCTGGGTCTCAGCTTCCTCAGTCCATGTGTGATTGACACGCAGGATAGTATGTTCTCCACCCATGTCTGCACCCAGCACACGGCAAGTACTTCTGCTTCTCCTGCTGGGCATGTAGGGGCATAGGAGCCCTAAGGTAAATACACCTCCTCTTGGGACATCAATGTGGCCCCAAAACAAGTATTTAAAATGGCTGAATACTAATTTGACACAGCCCAACATGAAAGCTATTCAAAATTGTTTGGATAAAATGCAAAACAAAAGAAATGCCCGTCTTGTGGCAAACTCTCCCTTGTGGACCCAGGAGGTTTCTCTCAGTGAGTCCATCCACCCTCCATTCTGGCAGGTGCTGGATTGTAACTCCTGGAAGGAGCCAAGTTGCTTTTCTAAATTCTGAACATGAATTTGGTCTCTATAAATCATTCTGATGCAATATCCAGGATTTGGGAATTCCTGGTATTTTTTCGAAAATGGTGTTGCCCAAGAGTGTCATGGAAGCACCCACAGCCATCTTCTCTAAGAACGCCTTCCCTCGCAGTGTGGAGCAGCACTACCACCCTGGGTATGGCGCGCCTTCCAGAGCTAACCCCTTCTAGAGAGAAGAGATGGGCTGTGTCAGGGCATCCTGTGTACAGAGCGTGGGAGAGAACGCCAGGGAGACAGAGCAGTGGCAAATGATACTTTAACTCTGTCAAATCTCCCCATAAGGAATAGAGTAATCAAAATAGTAACACCAAGACCCACAGAATGACAAAACCGAGGACAAGCTGCCCCACATCCCTGCAAAGGCACCAGGTGCGGACGTTCCCAGCACTCGAGTCCTGTAGTTCAGCATCTCTGCAGGACACGATGCAGGAAAGTGTGGAGGCACCCGTGCACCTGTGAGCACGAGGACTCAGGGCTCACTGGGAGTGCAGCAGCTCTGCTAGTGGTGTTTACACACCCCAGTTCACAGCCGAGGATGAGGTCTGGAACTCCTAGGCCTGCCAGCCAAGCGCCCAGAGCTAACCAGATCTGGTTCTGCCAGGACACAGCCTCGTGCTGCAGGGAGCCATGGGCCAGCGTCCAAACCAGCACGGCCACAAAGGGCAGTGGAGATGGCAGATCTAGGAGGCAAGGCTAGCTCTTTTTGCATAGGCCTGGCTGAAAGTCTGCAAAATCCCACAAAAAAGAAAACCAAACCAAAACAAAACAAAAATATATTACAGACAATAAGGGAGGTTAGTTAGTTAAGTAGCAGATTATATAAAAGACCAAGAAGATTCCATAGAACACTCCATTCAAGTCGACGAATAATAAAAAGGGATAAATACAATACAACAATATAATAGAGTACAATACACCCAGGCATGATCTTAAGAAGAAATGCACAAAACTTAAACAGGAAAACTGAAAAACATTCCTGAAATACACAAATGTAGACTTCCACAGATAGAAATACACACGTAGAACCAAACACTATGTCTGTCTTCAGTTCTCTCTAAAACCAATGTATAGATTTAATACAATCCCAATAAAATGCCATCAGACTTTTTTTTCTTTCTGCTGTGACTGATCAATTATAAAGTTGCTTTAAAGGAATAAGCAAACATACATAGCCAGCCAATAAAACCCTGAGAAGGTAGAGTGAAAAGATGGGTCTAGCTCTACCAGATATTAAATAGGCTACAAAAACTCTATGAAGTGTGTGGTTTAGGGGTCAGAAGGTGCTATAGTGGCTAAGGTGCCAGACTCCCACATGGCCAACCACAGTTCAAGTCCCAGACTCAGTGACTTGAAAATCATGCTGGAAGCATGTGCATGCATGCCTAAAATTGCAGAAGAATGGAGGAAAAGGAGTAATAGCATGGCCATCCCTCCTGGGGGACAGTTTCTCACTTTTTCTCTCTCTGTCTCTAGAGAGCACACTCTTAAAAAAAGGGGGGGGGGAGGAAAAGAGTGTGAGTTTATGAAACACAATGAAAAATTTAGAGAAGGTCCCAAATATGTCAAAAATAGTATATGAAAGGTAGCATCTCAAATCTTTGGGGAAAAGATGGAGTTTTGAAAAAGCAGAATTCAGGGCCAGCAGGTGGTGTGGAGGTTAAGACAGCTATATCCCACACGGCTGACTGTGTGGTTGCATTCCCAGACCCGGGCACTTGAAAAACATGTTGAGTGCATGCGTGTGTACTCCTGAAATCCTGAGAGAAGAGTGGAGGAGAAAGGATTTCAGTATCAATATCTCCCCTGGGGGATGATGTCTCGCTTTCCGTCTCTCTTTGTCTCTCTCTGGTGAGTGCACATTCTGTATAGAAGGGGAAAAAATTACAAAAATATAAGAAGTAGAATTTGGATCACTGAATAGTCATTTGGAAAAAAATATGAAATTGGAAGCTTTTGTTATACCATGTTCCAATAAATTCCAAATGAGTAAGATTTAAGTGTAAAAAACAAAACCATGGAAGTTCTAAGTAACTTTCTCTAAGACTTAAGTGAGAAAAAATATCTTGTGATTTTAAAACCCAGAAACAAAAAGGAAAAAGAAAAATGAATTTGACTACATAAAACTTGAAGAAGAGAAAAAAAATTTTAAAACTTCTGTGGCAAAGATATCATTTGCAAAATTTAAAAATAGTAACAAACTAGGAGAAAATATTTGTAACAAAGTTTTAGTATTCTTTGATGTAAAGATGTTCAACAATATTGAAATGACCAACATCTCTTTAGAACAAAAAGTAGATTGGAGAAGTGGACAGATAGTTCATAGGTAAAAATAAAATGCAAATGGTACTTCTACTCAGACTGAGAGAACGGTCCATTAAAATTTACCAAATTTTACCAAGTACTGCCGTCTCCTTCCTCCAAATTTCTAGCCTGCTACATCCTGGGCTCTTGTGCATGTGCCTGGCATGTTTCATGCTGACTGGGTCAGTGATTCAGAGTGTAGTCACCATGTGGGATCCAGCCCACATTCCCTGCTGCTGAGGCTACAGCAGATCTGATCACAGAACACTGGAGCAAAATGTGTATGTGCAATTCCTGGGGATTTGCACATCTGTGGCACGGTTACAGTGCAGTGTCCCACTTCTCCGAGTCACTCGTACAGACATGTTAGCAAGACCACGAGAAGACTCACAAACAAGGCAATTTAGGTGAGGCCTTTGCAATGGGAACAGCCTAGAAGTAACCCAGGTGTCCTCCCAACGGAACAGGAGCACAGCAGATTAGTGTCTAGCTATAAAAAGCATGAGGACTAAGGCAGTCCTGTAACCTAATGCTTAGGGGAGTTGGATCCCACAGGGTTGTTTGAATCCCAGCCCTGACAGCTTGAAAAACATTCTGGGCATACATACATGTGGCCCCAGAGGCTTAAACTCATGTTGGGTGCATGTGCATGCTTGCCCAACTAAATACCATTTTCTACCTGAAAGAACCAGGCATCTTTGGGATTTCTGATTTGAGATCTCTGATGGAAAATGTGCGAGATGAACCTGGAACACGTCTGCATTTCTGTTTTCAGTGCCAGAGGACGTGTGCACTGACTAGAGAAAGAGAAGAGAAAGAGGGATAAAGCACCTCCCTTGGGGCATGGTCACATCACAATCCATCCTTCTTCATTTCTCCATCTTGTTGGGATTTGGTCACACATGCACATTTGAACCTCATCTGGCCATGCGACATCTAACTCATTTAACCACTAGGCAACAGGGTGGCAGCACTGCTTTCTAACTTGATAGGTAGATTTAAGGCATTCTCAATCAGGACCAGCTCTGTGACACAGTGGTAATGAGTGGTAATGCACTGGATCCCACACAGTGGCCAGTCTGAATCACTGATCCTGTCAGCATGAAACATGCCAAGCACACGTGCCCAGGACATGCCAGACGAGAAAATTTGAGGACGGGGACTGCAGCATGCAGACCCTGTGAAGCCCCCTTTTCACTCTCTCTCTTTCTCTCGCTCCCTCTCTCATACATGCACATGTGCAAGCTCTATTATAAATATAATAATAATAATAATAATAATAATGCAGTCCTAACCAAAATCCTGCAAACTTTTGAAAGAAATATTGACAAACTGATCCTAAAATATATATGGAAAGCAAAGGAACTAAAAGAGCCAAAAAAAAATTCTGAAAAAGATGAACAAATTTTGAGGACTGACAAGATCTGACTTTAAGATGTACTATACAGCCGAAGAAACCAAAACAGCCTGGCATTTGGAGCCAGGACAGAATAGACACATTCACCAATAAAGCAGAACGGAGAACCCACAAACAGACCTACACAGATACGTACACGGGACTGATTTTTCGACAAAGGCAATTCAGTAGAGAAAGGATAGTCTTTTTCAAAATGAGTGCTGGAAAAACTGGATGTTGATGTGCCAAAATGAACCTCAACACGTCCCTCATAGATTTTTTTTTTCAAGGGATTTAACAGTGTAGTTCCCCTGAAGATGTTTTGCTGAGTAAAACACCTGGTACATGTACACAGGGTCTATGAGGAGGCTCACTTTAACATTTCTTCTTACAGGGTCATTAGGTAGTGTGGTGGTTAGGGCATTGGACTCTCATGTGGTTGACTGTGGTTCGAGTCCCAGACCTGGCAGCTTTCTCTCTCTTTCTCTTTATCTCTGCCTGTCTCTCTCTGGTGAGCAAAAAATTTAAGCAGAGCACAGAGCACAGTGTGAACACGGTTCCTTGGTCTGGCAAGTGGCCGGGCCTCTTTCCACTGGCTGCTCACAGCGCTCTTGTCCCTGACAGGTCCTGGCTGCCCGACTACGAGCGCGCCACCTGCGCTTGGTACATCCCCCGTCCACAGACGAGCTCAAGGACACCAGGGCGAGGCTGAGGAGAGAGAATCGCACGCAGGCAGCCCTGAGGTGGGTGAGCCCCCTGGGGGGCCTGCTTTGGTCCCACTCTCTTTTCTTTATTCGCTCATGGTAGGGTGCAGGCATTCACGAGAGAAGGAGAAAGAAAGAGAAAGAGAAAGAAGCCTCCTCTGCAGGGTCCAGCCATGCTGTGATCCCCTTCCTCCAGTCCTCCAGTCCTCCAGCCCATGGATCCCGGGCACTCACAGATGCGCCTGGCGTTTCAGGCTGAATCTGGCTGGGGATTCAAGCTACAGTTGCCATGTGTGATCTGGTTTCTCTTGAACAGCACATTACCGCTGCACCATGGAGCCGGCCCCCCACTCCCTGTCTGCTTTCAGAGGGAGCATCCTTCTGCAGCTGGTCACTGGTCGCCGGTCCCTGGTGCACACTATTCTCCTTGGGGAGTGCTGGTGGGGAATCCTACTGACCCCAAAGCCACCCTTTCCTTGTAGTCACCTGCACTCCCCAGCAGTGGGTTGGCAGGACACTGAACTAGGTCATGGAAGGCGACCTGTGTGGGCTGGCTCCAAGTCAGGCTCGATCCACATGGAAGGTCATGGGTTTGCCTTCCAGGTCCACCTCAACACACCAAGCATGTGTGTGAACACTATCAGCCTGAGAGGGGGTCTCAGTGGAGACCCTGTTGAGGAAGCTTGTCTTCGTTTCTCTCTGTGGGTCTATCTCACACACACTCTCAAAAACAGGGAAGAGACGGAAAGCTCACCCTCTGGGTCTCAGCTTCCTCAGTCCATGTGTGATTGACACGCAGGATAGTATGTTCTCCACCCATGTCTGCACCCAGCACACGGCAAGTACTTCTGCTTCTCCTGCTGGGCATGTAGGGGCATAGGAGCCCTAAGGTAAATACACCTCCTCTTGGGACATCAATGTGGCCCCAAAACAAGTATTTAAAATGGCTGAATACTAATTTGACACAGCCCAACATGAAAGCTATTCAAAATTGTTTGGATAAAATGCAAAACAAAAGAAATGCCCGTCTTGTGGCAAACTCTCCCTTGTGGACCCAGGAGGTTTCTCTCAGTGAGTCCATCCACCCTCCATTCTGGCAGGTGCTGGATTGTAACTCCTGGAAGGAGCCAAGTTGCTTTTCTAAATTCTGAACATGAATTTGGTCTCTATAAATCATTCTGATGCAATATCCAGGATTTGGGAATTCCTGGTATTTTTTCGAAAATGGTGTTGCCCAAGAGTGTCATGGAAGCACCCACAGCCATCTTCTCTAAGAACGCCTTCCCTCGCAGTGTGGAGCAGCACTACCACCCTGGGTATGGCGCGCCTTCCAGAGCTAACCCCTTCTAGAGAGAAGAGATGGGCTGTGTCAGGGCATCCTGTGTACAGAGCGTGGGAGAGAACGCCAGGGAGACAGAGCAGTGGCAAATGATACTTTAACTCTGTCAAATCTCCCCATAAGGAATAGAGTAATCAAAATAGTAACACCAAGACCCACAGAATGACAAAACCGAGGACAAGCTGCCCCACATCCCTGCAAAGGCACCAGGTGCGGACGTTCCCAGCACTCGAGTCCTGTAGTTCAGCATCTCTGCAGGACACGATGCAGGAAAGTGTGGAGGCACCCGTGCACCTGTGAGCACGAGGACTCAGGGCTCACTGGGAGTGCAGCAGCTCTGCTAGTGGTGTTTACACACCCCAGTTCACAGCCGAGGATGAGGTCTGGAACTCCTAGGCCTGCCAGCCAAGCGCCCAGAGCTAACCAGATCTGGTTCTGCCAGGACACAGCCTCGTGCTGCAGGGAGCCATGGGCCAGCGTCCAAACCAGCACGGCCACAAAGGGCAGTGGAGATGGCAGATCTAGGAGGCAAGGCTAGCTCTTTTTGCATAGGCCTGGCTGAAAGTCTGCAAAATCCCACAAAAAAGAAAACCAAACCAAAACAAAACAAAAATATATTACAGACAATAAGGGAGGTTAGTTAGTTAAGTAGCAGATTATATAAAAGACCAAGAAGATTCCATAGAACACTCCATTCAAGTCGACGAATAATAAAAAGGGATAAATACAATACAACAATATAATAGAGTACAATACACCCAGGCATGATCTTAAGAAGAAATGCACAAAACTTAAACAGGAAAACTGAAAAACATTCCTGAAATACACAAATGTAGACTTCCACAGATAGAAATACACACGTAGAACCAAACACTATGTCTGTCTTCAGTTCTCTCTAAAACCAATGTATAGATTTAATACAATCCCAATAAAATGCCATCAGACTTTTTTTTCTTTCTGCTGTGACTGATCAATTATAAAGTTGCTTTAAAGGAATAAGCAAACATACATAGCCAGCCAATAAAACCCTGAGAAGGTAGAGTGAAAAGATGGGTCTAGCTCTACCAGATATTAAATAGGCTACAAAAACTCTATGAAGTGTGTGGTTTAGGGGTCAGAAGGTGCTATAGTGGCTAAGGTGCCAGACTCCCACATGGCCAACCACAGTTCAAGTCCCAGACTCAGTGACTTGAAAATCATGCTGGAAGCATGTGCATGCATGCCTAAAATTGCAGAAGAATGGAGGAAAAGGAGTAATAGCATGGCCATCCCTCCTGGGGGACAGTTTCTCACTTTTTCTCTCTCTGTCTCTAGAGAGCACACTCTTAAAAAAAGGGGGGGGGGAGGAAAAGAGTGTGAGTTTATGAAACACAATGAAAAATTTAGAGAAGGTCCCAAATATGTCAAAAATAGTATATGAAAGGTAGCATCTCAAATCTTTGGGGAAAAGATGGAGTTTTGAAAAAGCAGAATTCAGGGCCAGCAGGTGGTGTGGAGGTTAAGACAGCTATATCCCACACGGCTGACTGTGTGGTTGCATTCCCAGACCCGGGCACTTGAAAAACATGTTGAGTGCATGCGTGTGTACTCCTGAAATCCTGAGAGAAGAGTGGAGGAGAAAGGATTTCAGTATCAATATCTCCCCTGGGGGATGATGTCTCGCTTTCCGTCTCTCTTTGTCTCTCTCTGGTGAGTGCACATTCTGTATAGAAGGGGAAAAAATTACAAAAATATAAGAAGTAGAATTTGGATCACTGAATAGTCATTTGGAAAAAAATATGAAATTGGAAGCTTTTGTTATACCATGTTCCAATAAATTCCAAATGAGTAAGATTTAAGTGTAAAAAACAAAACCATGGAAGTTCTAAGTAACTTTCTCTAAGACTTAAGTGAGAAAAAATATCTTGTGATTTTAAAACCCAGAAACAAAAAGGAAAAAGAAAAATGAATTTGACTACATAAAACTTGAAGAAGAGAAAAAAAATTTTAAAACTTCTGTGGCAAAGATATCATTTGCAAAATTTAAAAATAGTAACAAACTAGGAGAAAATATTTGTAACAAAGTTTTAGTATTCTTTGATGTAAAGATGTTCAACAATATTGAAATGACCAACATCTCTTTAGAACAAAAAGTAGATTGGAGAAGTGGACAGATAGTTCATAGGTAAAAATAAAATGCAAATGGTACTTCTACTCAGACTGAGAGAACGGTCCATTAAAATTTACCAAATTTTACCAAGTACTGCCGTCTCCTTCCTCCAAATTTCTAGCCTGCTACATCCTGGGCTCTTGTGCATGTGCCTGGCATGTTTCATGCTGACTGGGTCAGTGATTCAGAGTGTAGTCACCATGTGGGATCCAGCCCACATTCCCTGCTGCTGAGGCTACAGCAGATCTGATCACAGAACACTGGAGCAAAATGTGTATGTGCAATTCCTGGGGATTTGCACATCTGTGGCACGGTTACAGTGCAGTGTCCCACTTCTCCGAGTCACTCGTACAGACATGTTAGCAAGACCACGAGAAGACTCACAAACAAGGCAATTTAGGTGAGGCCTTTGCAATGGGAACAGCCTAGAAGTAACCCAGGTGTCCTCCCAACGGAACAGGAGCACAGCAGATTAGTGTCTAGCTATAAAAAGCATGAGGACTAAGGCAGTCCTGTAACCTAATGCTTAGGGGAGTTGGATCCCACAGGGTTGTTTGAATCCCAGCCCTGACAGCTTGAAAAACATTCTGGGCATACATACATGTGGCCCCAGAGGCTTAAACTCATGTTGGGTGCATGTGCATGCTTGCCCAACTAAATACCATTTTCTACCTGAAAGAACCAGGCATCTTTGGGATTTCTGATTTGAGATCTCTGATGGAAAATGTGCGAGATGAACCTGGAACACGTCTGCATTTCTGTTTTCAGTGCCAGAGGACGTGTGCACTGACTAGAGAAAGAGAAGAGAAAGAGGGATAAAGCACCTCCCTTGGGGCATGGTCACATCACAATCCATCCTTCTTCATTTCTCCATCTTGTTGGGATTTGGTCACACATGCACATTTGAACCTCATCTGGCCATGCGACATCTAACTCATTTAACCACTAGGCAACAGGGTGGCAGCACTGCTTTCTAACTTGATAGGTAGATTTAAGGCATTCTCAATCAGGACCAGCTCTGTGACACAGTGGTAATGAGTGGTAATGCACTGGATCCCACACAGTGGCCAGTCTGAATCACTGATCCTGTCAGCATGAAACATGCCAAGCACACGTGCCCAGGACATGCCAGACGAGAAAATTTGAGGACGGGGACTGCAGCATGCAGACCCTGTGAAGCCCCCTTTTCACTCTCTCTCTTTCTCTCGCTCCCTCTCTCATACATGCACATGTGCAAGCTCTATTATAAATATAATAATAATAATAATAATAATAATGCAGTCCTAACCAAAATCCTGCAAACTTTTGAAAGAAATATTGACAAACTGATCCTAAAATATATATGGAAAGCAAAGGAACTAAAAGAGCCAAAAAAAAATTCTGAAAAAGATGAACAAATTTTGAGGACTGACAAGATCTGACTTTAAGATGTACTATACAGCCGAAGAAACCAAAACAGCCTGGCATTTGGAGCCAGGACAGAATAGACACATTCACCAATAAAGCAGAACGGAGAACCCACAAACAGACCTACACAGATACGTACACGGGACTGATTTTTCGACAAAGGCAATTCAGTAGAGAAAGGATAGTCTTTTTCAAAATGAGTGCTGGAAAAACTGGATGTTGATGTGCCAAAATGAACCTCAACACGTCCCTCATGCTTTGTACATAGATTTTTTTTTTTCAAGGGATTTAACAGTGTAGTTCCCCTGAAGATGTTTTGCTGAGTAAAATACCTGGTACATGTACACAGGGTCTATGAGGATGCTCACTTTAACATTTCTTCTTACAGGGTCATTAGGTAGTGTGGTGGTTAGGGCATTGGACTCTCATGTGGTTGACTGTGGTTCGAGTCCCAGACCTGGCAGCTTTCTCTCTCTTTCTCTTTATCTCTGCCTGTCTCTCTCTGGTGAGCAAAAAATTTAAAGTAATAATAAAAACAGTAAGTAAAATTAAATAATTCTTTACAATTCTCTTTTTCTTGCAGAGACATCTCCTTGCACATCCTCACACTGCTTCTGTTTTCGTTTATAATATATGGGACATACCCCCGAGAAGAGTATTCTCTCAATCAGGCTATCAGGAAGGAATTTACAAGGTAAGAGTTTTGAGGAACTCCTCTAGATTGGGGGCGAGCTCAGAGTTCAGGGGGCCAGAGAGGCTCTACCTTACTCTTACTTTGAGCAAGCCAAGGCTTGTCTTTACGTTCTAGAACAGACACAATGTCAGGGGAGGGACCTGCCAGCCACCTGGCCCACTCTCTGGTGGCACTCACCCCTGCATGATTGAGGCCCAGAGCAGGTGCTTCACCAGGTCCCACACATGAAGTATAGGACAGCTTGTCCCATCCCTCACAGACACAGCTTCCCCAGTGTTAGCAACAGGCCTCCACTCACCGGCTTTGGGCATGTCCCAAACACCCCTTTGGGTAAATAGTGAAACAAGGATATTTCAAGGCACTTTAATACCTGGGCCAAAACATGGTCTTGGGGTTTTGCTTCTGCTGAAGACATCTGAGTTCTTCAGTCAAAGGCTATTGTTGGAGCTCATGGCCAATGACACCCGATCTCGAACAGCTGGTAGTACCCCATTCTTAAGTTGGATTTGGTTCTTCCTTCCTCTAAAAGTACTGGGTCATCAGAAAAGTCATGACGCATTTTTGCATAGAAACATATATTACAGCTTTTCCAACGACCCAATAAAAGACACTCAAGGCTAGCAGATAGCATGGCAGTTAAGGCAGTGGATCCTACATGCCAGGCTGTATGTTCAAGTCCCAAACTCAGTGACTTGAAAATCGTGCCAGGCACATGTGTGTGCATGCCCAAAATCCTGAGGAGAGAATGGAGGAGGAATTTCAGTGTAGCCATCTCCCCCCGGTGGGGTGGGGGGGATTTCTCAATTTCTATCTCTCTCTCTGTGTCTTTCTGGAGAACGGATGTGCCCTATAGCAAAACAGTCTAAAAATGTGTAGCAGAGCATTTTCCATGGTATGTCATGCAGAAGCCACACTGGTGACATTCTGCTGTCCCCTCCATGCCGTACTGTGTCTAAAGTGGGGATGCGTGTTGTAATCAACGTACACATTTAGCGTAGCATCCCTCTTTCACTGAAGGTTGTGAACACCGTGATCGGACTTTCTTTTCACTGGTTCGGAACAGTCAATCTGATCATCCTTTCAAGGCAATTTGACTCTGAATTCTGAAATGCATGTCTGAAGCAATACTGGTTCCTCAGTGTGATTTCAATGACAAGAAATGTACATCCCACAGTCTGCTTTCTCTGGGGAATACGTAAATACACATCACTGGGTGCTTCTAAAATGCATGGCTATTGACCAAGTAATTCAGTTTGATGTAAATGTTTTTGTTGGATTTTTTTTTTTTGACAGAAGTAGGTGGCTGGAAAATCCATTTACTATTTTTAAAAATTATTATTTATTCAATATTATTTATTCATTCATTCATTTTAATTTGACCAGAGAGAGAGACCCAGAGAGAGAAAGAGAGGGAAAGGGACAGAGGAAGCCACCGGGTCCGGGACTCAAACCGTGATTGACCATGTGGGAGTGTCCAGCACCTTAACCACCACGCCACCTGCTGGTCCCTCCATTTACTATTACCTGTTATTTAAGGCCACATTTGTCTTTCTCTTCTGCGAAAGAGAGAGTTATTGATTTCCATCCAGACCCAGGCTAGTACATGTCATCCCTCTTGCTAAAGGGACCTTAATAAAGAAGACCTGGACATCCCCATTCAATGAGTTTGGACTCCACTGTTCACTAACCCAGCGTTTCACTGCTGAGGTATGGCAGTGAGATAAAGTGGTATCTTTCTGCCTCCTCATTTACAAAACCAGCAGATATTTATTTCCATTAGCAACCGGCTTTTCAGTTTACCCATCTGTGCTGGTCACAGTGTGTGCCAATAGGTGGCGCTGTGCACAAACCTAAGCAGGAACTTGGGTCGTTTTGCCTGAAAATTTAATTCTATTGTATATGTGAGAAACTTCTGGCTTTTGCTCATTTAATTTTTATATCTCACATTTCATAATTCAGCATTATATGGCATATTTCTCAGATGAGCTATTGCCTCTTGATAGGCACATCAGAAATGCCCCAGCTGAGATAATATTTGTGAGATGACTCTGTGCACGAAGACCACTGTGCTTGGATAAAGGGCTCAGATGTTGGATCCCTGGGGCTTCCCAGAGCCCTGTGCTTCCCACAAGGATGCAAGCCCTCCCTGTCTCGATGCTCTGCTGCCAAGCAGAGGTGTCTATCCTGGTTTGAAATGAGATGTTTAATGTGGACCCTCTCTGCCTTACCTGCCTCCACACCAGTACCCAGTCTTGAAACATCTGAGGCCTGGCACTGTGAGGGCATTCCAGATGGAGGGACCAAAGCCCAGTGGGGATGGAATAGGTTGAAGTCAGGCCTGGGCCCAGGTTCACATCTGCCTCCCAGGTGGCCCTGGAAAGTGTTTGGACTCTGAGCCTTGGCATAGACGGCTGTAAAGTGAGGGAGTTGAGCTAGGTATTAACAAAAATGATCATGTTATTGGATCCTGTTTTAAGTTGTACTTCTGAACTCAAGAAAGTCTTCATGAAATTCCAAGAGAAACAAAACAAAAATAACCACCAAATAAAGTCCCAACAGTTGAAATCGGTGCTTTATCCCAGGGCTCTAAATGAAAAATAACTGCAATTGTATCTTCTCTCTGTGTAGCTAGTCTTGTGGGCTATTTCGTATTATTGTGGTAATTAACACAGACAGCAGGACTCCTGGGGTTGTTTGGGCCAGCCCTGCCCTCCCAGGTGCCAGGAATGAAGCATGTGGTATGCATCGTCTCTCTGTGGGATGCTTCGGCTCAGGGTCACGGTCAGGTCTTTCTTGCCTTTGTTTTTAATGTTATCCCAATAGGGAACAAGTATCAGAAAGTAATACCACTTCCCCCAAAATTGTGCAAACTCAATGTAGCTATAAAGTTTGTACAATTTTATATTTTAAAAAAACAGAGTGGAACATATTAGTCTATAAATGTCCAGCCAGTGCATTTATATGTTTGTTTCTTTTGTTTTGTTTTTAGGTGGTTTGTTTTTTTTTGTTTTGTTATTTTGTTTTGTTTTTTCTTTGCCATAGGGCACATGTGCTTACTGGAGAAGGGTGGGGAGAGGGCAGGGAGGGGGGACTGAAAAATCATCCCCTTGGGGGATGGCCACACTATGCTACAATCCCTTCTCTTCCATTCTCCTCTTGGAACTTTGGATAAGCACAAACATATGCCCAGCTTGTTTTTCAGGCTGCTGGGCCCAGGACTCTGTCTGTAGAGTTGGACTCTGTGGGATCCAGTGCTTGCCACCTACTGGCTCCGTTGTTTGTAAGTTGCCAAGGGATGCATGTGTTCACCAGAGAAAAAGAGAAGGAGAGGGAGGAGGTGCCCACCAAAGAGTGTAGTAACATCGCAATCCCGTTTCCTCCATTTCTCCATTGTGTCAGGATTTGGGGCACAAATTCACACACGCTCAGCACATTTTTAAAGTTACTAGGGCCAGGATGCAAACTGTGGTCCACCATGTGGGATCCTGCTTCCTTTAACCACTAGGCTATGAGGCCTGCCCTTCCAGAGCAGATGATTAACACTTTTCTCTGTTGAAAATGAAGCATCACCCTCTAGCTCTCCTCTCTCCCTTCCCTTTCTCTCCATCCTAGCTAGCTCACTCCTTCATCCTTTCCTCCTCAGAATGGTTGCAGATATTTTCAGGGGTGGACCTGCTTGCTTCCTGCCTCCCATCCCTGTCTCCCTATGTCTTCTCCCTTCCCAGGTGCTGCTCTGACTCTTCATCCTACTCTTTGGATGTTTGGGCAGTTTCCAGCTTGCTCTGCATTTGATGGACGTTTGACCAAGATCTTAGAGAAGTATAGAGAGCTCAGAACCAGCTCCCAGGAAAAGGTCTGCACAGATTAGCACAAGCCAATGATGATCAAATACTTGAACAGGTAGCAGATAATCTCGCTACAAAAAAAAAAAAAGCAAATAAAACTAGTCAGATAAATTAGTTCACCAGACTTGGGTTTAATTTCATTTAATTTAATTTTGTTTTATTTTATTTTATTTTTTAGAGATTTTTGCTATAGGGCACATGTCGTCAGAGAGACAGAAAGCTAAAATCATCCCCCAAAAGGGATGGTCACACCAGTCTCTTCTCCATTCTCCTCTCGGGTTTGAGGGCATGCACATATACACTCCCAGCATGAGTTTTAAGCCTCTGGTTCCAAGACTCGAACTGCAGTCAGCCAGTGTCTTAACCACTATGCCACTTGCTGACCCCACACGAGACTTTTATTCCCACTGCTATGGAAGTTTTTGAACATGTTTATAGTACAGATTAAATATCCCTTATCCAAAATACTGGGAACAGAGTGTTTTGACTTCAGATATTTTGGATTTGGGAATATTTTTATATACATAATGAGCTATCTTGAAGATGAGACACCAATCTAAGCATGAAATTCACTGATGGTTCATATACTGAGTCTGAAGGTAATTTTACTGGTAAGAGGTATTGCATCATTTTTAAAATATGTATTTCTGGGACCAGCAGATGGAGTAATGGTTACATCACTGGACTCCCACGTAGTTGTCACAGTTCAAGTCCCGGATCTGGTGGCTTAAACTCACCCCAGGCACATGCACATGCGAGCCCAAGGTCCAGAGAGGAGAATGGAGGAGAAGGGATTGTGACATGGCCATCCCCCCCTCGGGGGTGTGTGTGTGATTTCTCTCTTTCTGTCTCTCTGTCTCTCTCTCTCTCTTTCCAGCAAGCACATATTCCCCATGGCAAAAACCTCTCCAAAAAACAAAAAATTATTTCTTCCATCAGCAAAAGAGTGAGTGAGACAGTGAGACAGAGATAGACAGCATCCCTAGCAAAGTCTTGATGCCACAATCCACTCCCAACCTCAGTCTTAAATTATGGGCACACGCATCCATGCGGTGTACTCTGGAAGATCTCTGGGCATGAGCCCGGAGCCCTCCTATGTGAGTTGACATCACAGAGTACTGCGTTTTCCTTCTGCATTGCCATCCAGCCCTGCATTGCATTGTTCTGACTGTGACCATCATATGAGATCAGGTCTGGAATTGTCCAACTGTGACAGCATGTCAGTAGTCAAAATTTTGCATTTTGAAACATTGTAGTAGATTTCAGATTTTCTGATAGGGATGTCAGCCTATATTTGTACATTGTCGTCTAGGCTGTTTGTGTCTGTTAATCTATACAGGGTATTTTGTTTTGTTTTGTTTTTGCCTTAGACTCCTTTTCCCTGATGTTGTGTTTTTTGTTTGACATACTCTATCGGGTTTTATTTTCCATCTCTCATGATAGAGCATGTGCACATGAGAGAGAGAGAGAGGTGAGCAACTTTCACAGGTCTTCCACAATTCCCCTCCTCCAGTCATTTAGCTCATGGGGTCCTGGGCATTTGTGTACATGGTTGGTATGTTCCAGGCTGACTAGCCCAGGGATTTGAACCAAGGTCATCCTATGGAATCTAGTTTCACTTGAACACTACATTACTACTGCATCATGGAATCAGCCTTCAGGTTAGGTTTTAAAATCCTTTTTAAAACCTATAAATCAATAATGGAGTGCCCATAATCAATAATGGAGTGTGTACTGCATATCCTTTCCCGAGACAGTCTCTGGAGAACTAAAGCACTAATTAGAGCACTTGCCTGCCAATTTCCATGGTGTAAATTCTCCCACCCTGGTCTACTTCACACCACCATGTGATGTCACAGAGTGTGGAGCTGGGAAGAGATGTGCATGATAGCTCTGGAGCTGGTCTCCATTGGTTCCAGCACCCCATTATCCACAGCCCCCCTCAACCCCCAAGTCTAGCTTACCAAAGTCTTAGCTGTCACCTGAAGAACTCTGTCGGACCAGTCTTCGCAGTCATCTGCATTTGGTTGTGGGAACAGGCAAGACAGTAAAATTCTATGTACTTAGATGACTCGACTTCACCTCCTTTCTTAAGTTCTTATGACTTTCCACCAGTGTTTATTTCCTGAGAAGTATTTTGATCTTCGTTTTTCACAGAGGCAGACAAAGTGAATTAGCCACCCGAAACTGCTTCCTGTTTTTGTGTTTTAAATTTGCGAGAGGGCCTGTGTGCTTGCCAGAGAGACAGAGAAAGGGGTGTGTGAGTTGCGGGGTGGGGAGCGGGGAAACAGGTGAGACAGCTGCTCCCATTGGCGATGGTCATGCTGCAAATCTCCTCTCCTTCAATCCTCCTTTTGGGATGTTGGGCATACGCAAGTCCTGTGTGTTTCTCAAGCTACCAGGTTCAGGCCTGGAACCGTGCAGTCAGCCACAGAATCCGGCTGCCTTAACCAGCATGCCATGGGCTGGCTGGAGACCTGTTTCTATTGCTGCAGGATGTTGATGGGTGTGTTATCCTCGCTCTTGCTCAGCATCTTTCTTGGAAAGGCAGGTGTGAGAGATTTTTAGGGTCAGGCGAGAAAGGCTTAGTTTTCTCCGAGCACTCACTCTTTTCCTCTGCCCTTTGCCTAGAGCCCAGAGTCCAGGGTGCTCCTGGTGCCACCATATGCCACCTTAACTTCCATAGGCCTTCCTGCTTGGTCTGAGGGAACTGAGCACAATGCATTTTGTCACTTGAAATAATTTCAGTGCTTCTTTAAATCAGATCCTTGGTGGAAAAGTGAGACAGATAGCTAATATTTGTCATAAAGAAGCTAATTAAAGGGCTGTCCCCATAGCCTAGTGGTTAGGGAGCTGGATCCCTTATGGCCAGCCACAGATTGGTGGCATGAGCGATACTGAGCATGTGAACGTGCCCAAAATCCCAACAGGATGGTGAAATAGAGGAAAAGAGATGGCAGTGTGACCACCCCCAGATTGTACTCTCGCTCTCCCTGTCCTCTTGCTCTTGCTAGTATAGAAACCCTCTGGCAATTAAAAAAAAATGAATTGAGGGCTGACCCTGTAGTACAGTGGTTAAGGCCTGTGTGCAGGGAGCCAGGTGACCGCAGGTTGAGTCCCAGTCCTGGAAGCTTAAAAAACGTGCCAGCTGCCCATGCACGCATGCCCCAACTCCTGAGGGATGGAGATATGGAGGACAGAGGATTACGATGTGACCATGCCATGGGTGTGTTCTCTCTCTCTCCCCCTCCTTCTCCCCACCCCTCTGCAAGCATAGCTCCTCCACCCCAGTAATAAAAATAAAATAAAAAGATTGAAAAGAAAACAGTTTAGCATTTTTTGACGCCCTACTGTGTTCAATATTGGACTTCGTGTACATCTTCCCTCCTAAGGCTGTCAGCCATAACCCCATGCCCAGGCAGTGGGTGCAGAGAGATGACTGTGTCTAGGCCTGCATGTATAAGGCCTCCCTCGTCTTCCCCTCAGCTCAGAGCCCTCGCAGCGGCCTGGCCAGCCCCACATTCTTCCCGATTTCCCAGCCTGCGCCCACCCAGGCCTTTGTCCTCACCCTCCTCCCTGCCCTGAGCACAGAGAACTTTGTGGCAGCTCCCTGGTGTCTTCAGATCTTCGTTGACAAGTCACCTCTCCTTGAAGTATTCCGTGATCTGAGACAGAGGTCCCCCTGCCCATCCTGCCACTTCCTGTCACTCTTGCTCAGTTTTGTCCTTAACACTTAGCACTCATGGACTGTTTTGCTTTTTGCCCTTATTTGTTGGGCATCTCCCCACACGAGGGCAGGGCTGCAAGTTTCTGCTTCCCAGTGCCCAGAGAGGACCCAGCCCCCCCAGTCACCGCATGGTCCGTTTGTTGAGTGATGAGTGAGCACACGAACCGGTGCTTGGTCTACCAGCCTCTCCTCCCCTGCTTCTAAGTGAGTTCCAGGATTTTGTGCCCCATGCCCCAACATGAATGAGAGAAAACTGGCAGGAAAAACGCTTTTGTTCTCTTTGACTTGTTCTTGTTGGCTGCACAAACAACTTACTGTTTTTTCTCTCTCCTTAAGAAATGGCAGAAACCCTCTGGGTGCCGTGAGAAGTGTCGAGGAGTGGTGGGACTGGAGTCTGACCACACTGCTGGACGGCCTGTACCCTGGGGGCACCTTGGCTGCCCAGGAGCCGCGGGCTCAGGTGGGCATTTTATCCCTATTGGCAGCAGGCCATCTCCAAAATACCATGTCACAGGGCTGAAACTGTCCAGAACGCATGAACTCCAACACCATGTAGGTTCCCAGACAACTGTGTAAGGGGTAGGGCTAGAGCCCTACCCGGCCCCTGCTCCCCTACACCTTCCTCAGCCACAGGGGCTCCCCACACTCCCCTGCTTCCCAGCCTGAGCTAGCCGCAGGGGCACGCAGGTCCACAGGAGCCCTCAGGCCAATGAGGGGGTGCAAGACAAGTAAATGGAAGGTTCTAGCTCAGTGTGCAAGATCCAGTGACCAGGGATGTAAGGATTACCTGTGATAGAGGAGCAAATAGCCAGGACAGGGACATCAAGGATGCCTCCAGACAAAGGAGGGGCCGTTCCCAAGTTCTGGAGAAAAAGTGAATCAGTGTTTCGTGTAATCACAGCCCTTGCTCATCTTTTATTTCCTAATTCTCTCTCCTCTCAAAGAAGTATCTTTGTCCGGATTCCTCAGACACCTTATTTGTCATTTTACCTGGTTGTGGTTCATATAGTCTCATGTGACGACGACCCTGGAGAAGCCTTAGAGACGGAGTGTGCTTACGTGCACAGCCGTACCTCACTCCATTACGGGCTGTGCGTACCTCAACCTCAGCCCTTTCCAGGCAAGGCTGAGAGGGAGCTGCTCTCTTGCTTAGAATGCCCATTACGTCCTGAGAGTGTGCGTATGTTGTGGCCTCCCATGAAGGCAGTCGTCGGGCACCCCACACCTGTGAGTACTACTTGACGGCGATGCAGGCAGTCACGGCGTGTTGTCGCCCTCATCTTTTCTAGGCTGGAGCTCTGGGAGGAAAATGCTACCAAATAGGTAGTTTAGTGATTGAGCAGCTGAAAGTCTCTCCTAGCAGTGAATGTAAGGTAAGATGTTCTTTTTGCTTCTAAATGTACATTGAATTAAAGATGTCCAGGAGACTTTGGGGCGGGAGCAGGCTGATCATCTAGCTTCTCTGAGAGTCTAGCTGGTGATCCAGGTCAGCAGGGGCCAGGATGGGGACAGAAGAGCCTTTCCCTCCCCTGTCTTCTCCCCTTGCCAGCCCTTCACAACCCCCCTTCTATCCATGGCATTCTGTCACAGGTTTACTCAGTTCGCTGTTTAACTTAGAGACCTAATGTTCCAGTCCAAACTAGGACTTTAATCTAAAACCTAGAAAGAGAGTATCCACATAGCCTCTTCTTTTTTTTTTTTGGATCC